TTTTTTTATTTTTATTCAGTTAGAAGAATCATAAAAACAGATAGGATTAATGAATGACCAAGGGACAGAAATTTTAAGATTGTATTTTTGTGTGTGTGTGTGCGTGTGTGTTTGGATCGTTTAGTAGTCCTTCAAAACTAGAAACCATATGTTTGATGGCAGAGCTTAATGAAAAAAGTTTGTAGGCAGTTGAAGTTTACACACAGTCCCACAGCAGAAAAGCACCAAACAAATTTGAGTGTTTTTAATGAACCACTACATCTTCTTAAGGCACGACCTTATTTGAACAAGATCTGTTCTATAGACTCGTACCTCTCTATCCTTGAGTACTAAGGAGACAATACATCAAGTCTGGTGGATGAACAATGGCGGCCCGACCAGAGCGGGGTTAACAGACCCCTTGGCTCAGGCTTGGGTCCATTGGGTAAGTAGAGGATCGTTCTTGATTTGTCTTGATGAGCCAAGATGGCGTGTCAGCTGTCTGACAGACCCTTTTTTTTTGTCAATTTTAATATGAACAAATACTATATTGAACTGTGAACATAAAAAACAGCCAACAAAAAAAATCACTGGAAATTGATGCAAGCAACTATAATTTATAAATGATAAATATGTTTTCCCTAGTTTTCAGTCAAAATATCAAAGATTGCAGCAATAGAATTCTGAGTAATTCTTAAATTCTCTGAGATTGAAAAAGGTAAACCAACTGAGCTTTATACCAAAGTGAAAGCTCGAAAAGTTCATAAACAGAGCACCAATGCTGTGACTAAATAATAAATAAACCATTCTAATAAAAATATTAGCTATTCTTCATCAAAATCATAAATTTTACCAACGTTTATCAAGGCCTGCAAAACCTTAATGATGATAGTGCAAATATACAGACAGATATATCACTCTCTCATCTCATTGCAATGCCTAGAAACAAACACTCCAATCTCCATCTGTCTTCACTTGGCTGTCAAACAAGCACACTGCTCCTACCAACAAAACCTGGCAATATCACAATTTCAACTTCATTCAACCACGTCAAAATCAGAAGTTTGTCCGTTCGAGATGTGTTTTCACCGCACGATCAGTACATTTTTCATAACAGGTGCATCATCAGTCAATCACTCATCACTAATAGGCTCTAAACAGTAATCATGGTCTGAAAATTGGTGTCGATGGAAAAAAATCCCATCCTACCAACATAAGCAAGAAATGAGCATGATAGTTAAGACAGTAAATGGGTTGACAAAGGTGTTTTGTGAGGCAAAACTGAGCCAAGAATCGTATAAAATTCCCCGGCCAACCATTCTTTGTTACTTGATATGGGGTTGATCCATCCAAATTCCCCGGTAGCAATAACCACGTAGAAAAAAAAGCAAGGCTCGTTTCTGGACGATCCTTTGAACACCAACACCTCCATCTGCTGCAACCAACCGACCGGCTGAATATGAAACAAATCATGAAATTCACTTCCCAACACAATCTGACGTTCCCATTCCCTCCAATAATAAGAATAATACTCCCCCAACACCATCTCCCAAACTCGAAACACGCCATTCTCAACTTGATGCACTACAGTGAGGGACTTCCCCGTTGACAGGTACCAGTACATGAGACTGAGACTATCCACGGGGAATGGGGCCCGCATCTCCATCACAACCTCCGTCTCCACATTCAGCGTGAGGACAGTGTACCCATAAATCGAATAAGAAATCGAATGAATAAAACCCTCTGTCACCAACACGCTGCCGATGGTATACTCAGTCATATGGTCGGTTACTAGATACCTCCATGACTTGTCGACACCCACGGTCAACATGGCCCACCTCGCGCCCTTTCTCCACCTCGCGCTGCTTCTCCAATCACTGTATAACAAGGCCACCTTGTACGCCTTTGAGGCCTCCGCGTATCCCACGGAATAACATATACGCTCTGCATTTTCGGGGAGCGGAGGGAGTTGGAAGGTTCGTCCCGTGACAGGGTTGGCCACGTGGACTTGGGGCAAGGCTTCGGTGTCCTCGATGATGTGGTCGTTGCAGCTAGTCTCTAACCCATATCTGAATTTGTACGCGTAGTAGTTGGATACCGTGACACGGCCCTGTTTCATAGACACGAAAACCGCGTGCTGAGAGAGATGTTGATAATCATATGTTGGGGCATATCGGAAGAAGAGGCCGTATTCGTCAGTTTTTTGGAGATGGAGGTTTACGAATTTGTCGGAGAGGATCGTGCGGCAGTACAAGCTCCGGCAGGCGAGACTTGCCGTGTAAATGTCTTGAGCAGAGAGGTTAAACAGGATCTTGAAGAGCAGATCATCGGGAAGGGAAATTAGGAGATTGTTTTGGGCACAAGGGACTGCTTGCTTCTCGTCCTCAGCTTCAATTTCGGCCGACCAAGGGCGGCGGAAGATTGATGATGAAAATTTCGCCATTGCGGTTTTCTTGTGCAAATATAATATGCGACATTAGGGCTAAATAGCCATTACTTGGTGCAAAAAAATATATTCATGTTATGAAATACGGGGAAGATAAAGAACACAATGTATAAAAACTGGATACAAATTACAAGAAGCTTTTCTTGCTTTCTTTCTCCTTATTTTCGTATATTCATTACAATGACTCCTTGCCTATTTATAGACAAATTTGGGGCACACACTTCAAGAATTTGATAACATAATTAATAGTGGTTATTCCACTTTTACACAATACTCCCCCTTGGAATTACCACTATTAAATGTGCGTTTATGCTGCCTCGTTAAAAACCTTATCTGGAAAAACCCTGTGGGAAAAAACCGAGATAAGGAAAAAAGAGTACAGCCGCACATACTCCCCTCCGAATTATCATCCGTGCAAATCCCGAAGATGCCTCATCCCAATATTGTGCACGTGC